ACGTATAAAAAAAGATCTTTAATCAATTGTGTAACGATCTACAAAATCGGGGCACTCGGGACGTTCCTACCTCGATATATAATAGCCTTTTAAATTTTATTATGCGGAGTACGTCTTCAGTTTTTCAAGTTGTCAAGTTAATGCAATGTGGAGAGGCACGACGTTTCTTTGTAATTCAAGCGTTTGGGTGAGCTAGCCCTTCAAGACACGTGCTTACCAGTTAGTCGACTTTGCTTTATATATAAACTTCTACACTGTGTGTGGCTAGGGTCCCGATGGTTTAGATCTCACTCCATGCGCCCGAGAAGTGTAAGTTTCGTTAAAACTATTGGTTTTTTTATTTCGTTGTCATTGAAAATTTACACAACACGGGTTGTTGTTTAGCATTCTGAATGCTACACTACCTTTATGTGCTATTGTTTTTTCTATAATATATCTAGCTCTTCGTACGTGTCGCAGACATTCAAGTATCTATACTCCTTTGGTAAACGTAATAACACAGAATGACCAGTACGGTTATGTACCAGTCTCGAGATATGATATAAGCCAGCTAGTAATATCCTTCATTCAGTTGGGATTTGTAGGCTTCCTCTTCGGTTGGGAGGTGGAAAAAGATCATTCTAATGGCATATATATGGTAATTGGCGCAATTGGCCAATTTACCTCTTGGGTAAATACTTTATGAGAATATTTGAATTAATAATATTTTACTTTCTTATTTTAATCATTTATTTCAAATATGTGCAGACTTACATCGTTATACTGTTAGCATGTCATTTCATGACGCGAAGGAAGCAATCCCAATATGCATTTATTAGGCAACTATTGATTTTATACACGCTTTTCTTTATTACTGCGTGTCTAAACCTTCGCTCTATGCTTATAAATAAAGAAAAAAATAAACAGAAAGGTTATGAGTATGTGTTCGCAATATGGAACTTTTGTGCTTGTGGTATATTATTTGCATGTTCCCTTAAGAGACCACGAAATCCCGAATTGAAGTATGGAAGAAACCGCCGAGTAATATCTCATGACACAGTTGCATCTGTATGGTCTCTCCTCACTTTCGGGTGGATGTCATCGATGGTTAAGCTGAGTAACAGTCGTAATCTCACAGAAGAAGACGTATGGGAATTACCATATAGATGTCAAGCTGCTCATTGCTACTATGAATTAGATCGGTGTGTAAATTTTTAAAACTTTAGTGTAAATTTCATTAATTTTTCATATTCAAAACCCATTTATTGACAAATTACGTAATTACGTAATTAATAATTTCTAATAGAATAATGAATACAAATCTTTCCTCGCGGTTACTTCGTGTCAACACAAATAATCTTATTCTTTTCCTTTTTATTGCAACTTTTCGGTCTATTTTTGCCTTCACTACACCTTTCTTTCTCTATAGACTATTAGAATACATATCTAACAATAAAAATAAGGAATATACTGAAACACCTTATCTTTATGTATTTGGGATTTTATGTTCTGAACTTGCCAGAATCATTTTCTTAAATCAATTAAACTATCAGGTAGTGTGGTTAGGAATCCGTGTGGAACAAATGCTGAGTGTTTTGGTGTACTCGAAACAATTACATATAAAGACTTCGTCCAGATCTAATAATAGCAGGCCAAACAATATTCTAACAACGGATGTTGGTGATATTGCTGGCTTCTTTTCCAA